AGGCGAATGCGAAGGAGTGTCTTACTCAGCCAGCAAACTGCTGATAAAGCATATCTATCGTGATCGTCAGCACTTACATAGCACTTTTCATCCTTAAAGCTCTTTGCAAACACTAACTAATCAGATTAACCTTTTCCAATTAAACCTCCTCTTGTTCAGTCAAAAAGGGTCTTGCCAGGAATATATCTGGCCAACTTGCAGCAAAGCAGACTGCCCATGCACAGTTTGGTACGGTGCTGCACCTCTGCACTTCAGCAAGATTTGTCTTTTACGCCAACAGAGAAGTGAGAGAAACGAGGCAGCCTTCACCTGTATCCCACCCCAGTTCCCATATGCTTTGCATTAGACAGCACTGCTTTCCCTTCCCAGGTGAAGGGCATGAGGACTGAACCCTAAGTTTGCAACAGGGCAGAAACAAGAAGCAAAACAAACCGGAATCCTTATTTTCTGATGATGAGATATAAGTAAAACCAATACATCCCAGCCTTCCTGAGCTAACCAAGTGCCACCTTTACCAGTCACAAGACAACAGAATCATCCCCAAATTCCAAGTTTTTTTTTGATATGCTGTATCCCAGGCGTAACAGACCTCAGAACCTGCAATTTGTGAGCCGTGTGTCTTGTCCTCCAAGTGCACGGAAGCAGGAGACTAAGTGTGCTCTTTCTGGGGCCAAATGCAATTGGATTCCAAGGCAAAGCCCTGGCTGAAAGCAACAGATTACACTGGACATACCATCTGGAGAAAAGTGCAAGGAAGGGCTGGCAGTCGCTTTACCCTATTTCTGAATGAGAAAACAGACTGTGTCTAAACCTTAGATTTCATTGGTTTGAAATTATATGGTGCAATTCCCCTTCTGCCCTCTTCTTCACTAGATAGGTAACTACACCAACCACCAGTTTTACTATTCCCCTCTCACACTGTCATGCTAACCATTCCTCTTCTGACGATCAGCTGCCCAGCACTGCAGCACAACCACTGAAGAAAGCGGTGCACAGGCATCTGCAGAGCCAGAGACATAAATGATACCCACCCAGAATAATGTAAGAGCAATCCTTTACTATGTTCTTCGCTGACCCCTCTGCCCAGGGTTCCTAAGCATCAACGCTCTAGGACAAGCAGTAAACCAGGAAATACTACAACTGCATTTATCTAACAGAGAAATGAACACACAGGCAGACACAAGTTATCTGCTGCACACAGCCTTGTGAAAAAGCATTTCATAAGCATTCATTTATTTGACCTCGTAACACAGTTAACGTCAGCAAAACCATTTTGACGTTTTAAAAGTGGACAAAAAAACCCCAACAAACCTCGACTGAGATGGTATCAGAGCACAGATTAAGATTAATTGCAATTCCTGTTCTCACTACTGTGCTGTGAAGGCAAACCAATCGATCTCTTAGCATAAGGCAGGGGAGAGAATAGATTTGTGAGCTAAGATCACGCTTGGAAACCTAGGTAAGAAAATGCCTGGAAAAAAGCTTCAGCTAATCTCCTGTATGGTTACCAGACTTCACAAAGGCACTCCCTCCATACAGCACTCAGCCTGACAGTCCGGTTGCTTAGATGCACTGTCCACACCATAGTAAGGGAGAGGAGAGAAAAACAACAAGAGATGCATTCTTACATCCTGTGAGCACAGCTAGTAGCCTGGAAGGACACATTTCTGTCTTGAATATCATCCTGAAAAGTATTAAATAGGATCGGTGGCTCTCCACAATGCAAAATTCCAATCTTCTGGGTTTTTTCCTCTCCTAGTAGCAAACACATTTGAATTAAAATGCATTTAACAGCTAACGGTGCATTCCTTCCACTGCAGAACAAAGGCATGGGGATGATTTTAAACTGTGCCTCTGTTTTTTTCAGAATGAGTTCATCAGCCTCACTGACAGCAGGCATTAGTGGAGTCATTCCAATCACTTAAAAAAAAAAAAAAAAAAGATGCTTTGATTACTTTATCTCCATGCCCAATACTACGAGAGAGATGAGTATCTGTCACCAGCAACATAATCCAGTATTTTTCTTTTACTGTTCTTCAAAAGAAATTTATCTCTGGGATGGATGAACTCATGTTGACGGAACAGAAATCTCTGCATATTAATCAGTTCATGATAAGTCAGAAAACTGGTTTAAACCAAAATGAAAGAATTCTAGGGAAAAAGCTTATCAATATAATTTATTGGTGAGAGAATCAGCAAAACACACTGCTTGCATGCACTGTATACGTTAGGGCTGCCCTACTTAATCCTGCTAAGTTTTAAGCAGATTCCACCCCTGTGAAGGAAAATCCATGACACACATTTTGCCATTCAGACAACACTGGCTTAGTATTCACCCTCCACCTGCCCAACAGCCACTTTTCACCTGAAGCTGTTAGCAAGTCAAGAAATAAAAAAGGAGAAATACCAAGTCTGTGCCAAATGCTTGCCAGACAAGGCTACTGCTTGTACAAATCCATATGCCACAACAGCAGAAAACAAAAACCATCACATACAAGTCTAGTTTTGCATAAAATCCGTGTGCAACGCAGCTCAGATGCAAATGTTCCTGTTCGTTCTGGTAGGGCAAACAACAGGTTTGCTGGGTCTGAGGATTTGTTTTACAGATTATTTGATTTTTAAGATGAAAGTTTAGTCTGTTAAATTCTTCTCAGAACATAGCAAATGCTACAGAAAGCTGCCTATGGATAAATTCCACCTATTTGGAAACCCAACCCTTCTTCTTTAGTGTCTCTTCTGATTAACAGAGAGAGGTGGAGATGCATTTATGCTGAGTGCCATGAAAGCACAAAAGGAATTGAGTTTGGAGAGTTTTCTGTTTCTACAAGGTCACAAACTGCAGCAGCCTGCCTTGTCCCGGGGTCTTAGCAGGATTCTAAAAAACCATGAGAGGTAAGCAGACTGACTAGCAGAGTGTTCTGCATTAGGAAACTG